AATGTCAACCTGAGGAAAAAAATAAACCTAAGGTTCCATTGACATCATGAGTTATATTAATGTATAGAAACAGAGTAGAAATAATGAAATGGTTGGTGTGTTCATGATCTATAAATTATATTACTATTAGTAGGTGATATGAAGTCCAGATCTACATAAATTCCACCTCTAAAGAGCATGTTTTTTTTTTCCATATAAGCTAAAATAACGATCTACGAATGAACAACATCATGTTCAAATTTAAAAGCCAAAATTGTTGGATCAATATCTAAAAAATACTGGAGACGGTGAAATCAAGTTCATGTTTTGGTCATGAAAAAGGGTTCTTGGGATATTTTAGAGAGTTGGGTAAAAGTAATTTTCCATGGATATCCAGTTTGAATGTGTACTTTTTCCAACATTGGGCTTGCCTACAGCAAGTACTTATCCTGTAATTATACATAAATGTGTGAATCGTTTGTTTTATACAATATTTGTGAAATTGTGAGCTTTTTTGAAGAAAAACTAAGGTCGGTTGTATACAATGACCGATAATGATGATTTCTTTTAAATTTTCATTACCTATCATCATCATCAATTTCTAAATTGAAGCAATACAGTCGTGAAAAATATTTTAAGGATACTGAGTACTGTCATGGTTAGGGTCAACAAGGTAACCAAGATCCTCCATCTCATAATCATCTAGAATCGTCATGTTCATATCTTATAGTAGTGAAATCCGATACAACAAATGCCCCAAACATCTCTACAAAAGGAACATCTACACCCTATAAGAATTAATTTAGTTTTCCTTAAAATAGGATTTAGTAAAGCTAACATATACATAGTCAAACATACCTCCATTTGCGATGAAAAGCCTTTAATTTCCATTTGTAGTATTTGTTTCGCATCTACCTGTCCTCTAAGTCAACCACTTTCTTGAAGCATCTATTACCAACTGGATGTAGAAGTTCCTCTCCTTTATTAATCTGTAACATTATGAAATGGAAGTAGAACCGAAAGTTTACTATTACCACTTAAGCAAAAAAAAAAGTAGATGTATACATAAACACACACACACACAAACCCAAAACCATCCACACACAGTAAGATACACAACTGCAGACACTGACACATCCATTCATAGCAAAACATAAACGTAAAATCTCACAAAATTTCGACACCTAATACCAATGATGTTAGCTTGAAGGAACTCACAGTCGTCTTCATCAAGAACATTGTTCTGCTTCGATTCTCTACCAAGATTCATGTAACATAAATCAGAAAGATAGCCATTGACTCACACAAAATTTAAGATTGTCAAATTGATCTTACTTCTTTTCTTATTCTTTTTCCTCTCATCATCAATATCTGCCCTTTCATGTTCATAAGCATCCTGTTCACCTTCATCAACATCATCTACTACGAAATCATCTTTCTCATACTCATCATCTTCAATTTCCGTTTCATCAAGGCCATGAGCAAAAACATGATAAATGTAAAATCCAAAACTTCCCAGAAACAAATATAAAAAAAGAGTACATATAACAATTAAAAAAAAGCTTAAAGTACCTTTCGAGAAAACAATAGCATTCCAAATATTCATTCTTGATACAGAAAGATTATTGAGAATTCATACCATCTTCTTCGTTAGCGTCGCTATCACGATCTTCACTATCAACAACGTCTACATCAATTCCATGCTGAATATTACATGCTCAATGACTAAAACTAACTGAAATATTGATTATCATGTATCAATACAAAAACATCAAGTCGTAATAGCATATATAAGAAGTCATTCGAGTAAATCAACTCTTTTATGTAGAAAACAATCCAGTAAGTGAAAGGAAGAACATATGGAAACTTCGTATTTTAATAGTATTTACTCTTTTAGTACCTCCATCACCATCATCAAACTTGTAAATTGAATCAACCTATTAAAACCCTAAATACTGCTCCAAAAAATCCATGTGCTTCGAAGTCGGTTGGTCTCAATTACATGTTGAAACTGTGTGAAAAACATAATCAATGGGTAAGAAAGCATCTTCCTTGTTTTCAATTACAGGATGCCAATCAACTTTGTCTGTACCTTATGTAATGTATGTTTTTCACTTTCATAGTCATCTTGGCTCTATAACGGTTGTACACCCGGTTTCAGCCTGGAAATTAGAAATGTTTTTTTCAATGTTAGTCACTTCAAAAAGTAGTATGTTGGATCAAAATTTAAATATAGTATACACTAATTCTAGCATCTTCTTTGTTTCTCCATGACTTTGATGCACCCTAACTCTAGTAATCACAAGTTAACTCCAAAACATCAATTATACATTCATTGAGGCATTTCATCGAACATATAGACTGCAACAACACTTAAACATTACACAAATCCTTTTTCCAACTTTTAATTCTCAAATTGAAATCATCATGAGTAGGAGAGGCATAAGACAATTAGATAACAGCCGTATATAGAAAAAGAAGTAGATTAACAGGTAGCGTTGGAGATGCATCTTGTAAAGAGGAATCGATTATATCAACTTCGTTCAACAACTCAGTCCCCGGATACCTCTAGTAGCCACCGGATGGACGCCCCCGCTGCACTTTCCGGTGGTCGGCACCGTCACCGTCTCCATCTGCATCTGCCTTTTTTTTTTTTTTTTCTAGTGACCACACAACACAGGGAAATGTTTTAGAGAAATAAAAGAAATAAAAATCAACGACGTCACAAAAGGAGACGTTATCGTTCTCTTTGGGCGTAGACATAACCACAAATTAGGGCTAGGGAAAGGTAGATAAGAGATGAAGGGGCTACAAAACATATAAAACCATAAAACCTTATACCTGTATTGGGATAGAGCAGAAGAAGATGGAATTCGAAAATTGAATTGTAAGTTGATTTCAAATACCTGTTTCAAACATACTAAATCAAACATGCTAAGTCAAACATGTTTCATAATGAATGATGTAGATGAGGTGTCGATGTTTGCCTCTAAAGGCGTGAATGGTGATCGATGGGGTTTGTTGAGACTGTCGCCATCGATTCAGCACACACACATAAAGAAACGTACATACATAGCCTGGTGGACTGTTGATGTTCCCTGTAGCCGGTCGGTTATACCAGGCGATGAGAAACCGTCGTTCAGTTTTGGAAGCAATCATGGAAGGGGTTTGTTGATCGATGGGGTTTGTTGATACTGTCGCAAAAAAGGAGAATACGAAAGAGGAATAAAGGTATCCAAACATTTGAGGCGGTGCTTCTACCAGAGATGTCAGTAACATCAATCCAAAGATGATTGGTTAAAAAAACGGTGAACCAAATTAAAAAGAACACGTGTAAACAAACAAACTATATAAAGATATAAATTGACCCTCTACAAAAACAAATAACAAATGAGAAAGCATTGCAAAGACACTCATACATAAGGGACCACTTTTGCCAAATCCTTAGCAAATTTAAAGGATTGATAATTTCCATATATATAATATATATATATATATATATATATATATATATATATATATATATATATATATATATATATATATATATATATATATATATATAAAATTGTTTAACACTTTAACAACTATAACCACTGGTTTTTAAGATATTTTAATTTTAAATAATAATAACTAGTTGTAAGAGTTGTGTATAACACGAGTTTATTAAAAAAATATCGATTTGTAAATATTAAACAATTTTTAAGTATTATTTTTATATAGAGTATATACAAATGCTATGTAAATCTTAAGCAATTTTTTGAGTAATTATTGTCAAATTTAATAGAATGAATCTACCTTTCATATATAAACAAAATTTTAATTTTAGAGTAAATTACACGAATGGTCCCTATGGTTTAGGGTAATTTACTCGTTTGGTCCCTAACTTATTTTTTTAACTCGGAAGGTCCCTACTATTTTTTTGTTACGTGCTTGGTCCCTATTATTTATTTTTGTTACACGTCTGGTCCTTATCTTACCTAAAAAAACTATTATTTAAATAGAAAAAAAATGGTAGTGTAGATAATATAAGGTAAGAAGGTGAGGTTGGAGGTGTGTTTATTTAAATAAATTAAAAAAATCAAGAGAAAAGTAGTCTTTTTAGGTATGATAGGGACCGAGCGCGTAACAAAAACAAATAGTAGGGATCTTCCGAGTTAAAAAAATAAGTTAGGGACCAAACGTGTAAATTATCCTAAACCATAGGAACCATTCGTGTAATTTACTCTTTAATTTAAAAAAATGAAAAACACAAGAATATGACATGTGACAATTAAATAAAAATAAAAATAAATAAGAAAATGACAAGTGGAAAAAGGATATTCTGAAATGCCTAGAAAATGACATTTGTCAAAATGAAGGAGACGATGATATTTGGCAAAAAAAAAAAAACATTTATATATTAGAATAGATGTTTTCCGATTGATGAGAACTGGTGAAAGACTCCAACTAAAAATCACCCCTGTTATTTCAATGCTTCTCAAAGCATCACACCGGCATTACATGTTAACTTCAAATTCAACTTCAACACCATTTCAAACTCGACGTTTCCTTCTTTTAACAATTGCAATGTTTTCGGCGAAATTAGGGTCGGCGACACGAAATCCGGAAAAAGAGGGGTTGTAGCGGTCGGAGCAGGCTATACAAAGCGGCCACTAGAAACCAGGAGCTTATGAGCTTATTGACGAGGAGACTGGGATAAGTTTATCGTTTGGGGAGGAACTCATGACGATAACCATAAGCAAAAACAAACCATAAGATGGTCCAAGTTAAAAATAAAAGTTAGGGATTAAACCTACAAGTTACTCCAAACCATAGGGGCCATTAATATAATTTAATCTTAATATTATATATAATGTAAGGTTCGCATTGTTGCGATGCATGATTAGTGCTGTGTTTATACGGTATGACATGATAAATGCCGTATTTATTATTTATTGAACATAAAATGTGAAACGCGCCGCCGATGGAGTAATCTGATCACCGCCACAGAAACTCGTAATCTCTGATCTGCCGTGGCAATGTCGATGTCGATGACAATGGGGTTTTCTGCCCCAATGAAGCTCAAGGCCAACGCTGTTATGAATTACAACGAACAACACCACCACGCTCTTGATGCGTCGTATGTAAACGCGCCGCCGAGTTATCAGACCTGTCTGCCGGTTTCACCTCGCCGCATCCTAACTTTGGCTGCGTGATAGCAAAAAACAGCAAAGTTTTCGGAGAAGGATACCTTTACGCTCAAGGGACGAAACCGGCGGAGGTCCAGGCGGTGGAGGCCGCCGGAGAGTACTGCAGAGGCGCCACTGCTTATGTCAATATGGAACCTGAAGACTGCAACAACGATAACACCTCTCTATCTGCTTTTATTAAGGTTTTTGTCATTGCTTCATTTCACATTATAGGATAATTTGTTCAAATCTACATGCTTAATAATCATAACCCTTAGGCTGGAATTACCAGAGTTGTAATTGGGATCAGAAATCCATTGCAACATCTTCGTGGAAATGCTATTCAAGCATTGCGAAGTGAAGGACTACAGGTTGATGTTCTTGGGGAAGATATAAGAGGTGTCTCCATGGAGGTACGTATTGTATAAATCTTTAGCATTCTCACACGTTTCTTTTCTTTCTTTCTAATTTGTCGTTATTCAATCTTATACTACATTAATTCTTCTAGGATGCTCTGAAATCATGTCTTGTTGTTAATGCCCCTTTGCTATATAGATCAGCGTTTCAAGTCCCATTCTCTGTTTTAAAGTACGCAATGACCCTTGATGGTGAGTTTCAGTGATGACACATGTTGTTTTGTAAAATCAAAACGTTGCATTTGCTCCATTTTATCCAAATATTTTAACAGGAAAAATTGCTACTAGTAGTGGACATTCATTATGGATAAGCAACGAAAAGTCAAGATCACGAGTCTTTGAGTTACGTGGTAGAAGCGATGTGGTTATTGTAGGAGGAAACACAGTGCGCAAAGATAGTACGAAATTTTAATTATTGTCACCTAGTGAATTATAAATAAATACTTCTAAAGTATTTAGTAAAAGTTTTTTGATATTTATAAATAGATCCGCGTTTAACTCCAAGAAATGGTGGTGTTCATTTACCTACACGAATTGTTATGTCGCAAACACTTGATCTTCCCGAGGTTGCAAATCTTTGGGATGTTAGAGATGTGCCCACAATAGTTGTCACTCAGAGAGGTGCAAGAAGAAGTTTCCAGAAGTTTCTTGCCTCAAAAGGCGTTGAAGTAGTGGAATTTGACATTTTTAACCCGAAAAGAGTTGCGGAATATCTTTATGATCGTGGGTATCTTTCAGTTTTGTGGGAATGTGGAGGGACATTATCGGCATCAGCTATTTTATCGGGTGTCATACACAAGGTGTATGAAAGTATATATATGATCTTTCAGTTTCAGTTTAATTTGTTTGAAAGTAGAATTCTATAATTGGGTAAAATTATGATGTAGGTGCATGCTTTTGTTGCTCCTAAGATAATTGGAGGAAGGAATGCGCCTTCTCCAGTTGGGGAACTTGGGATGGTTGAAATGACACAGGCTTTGGAGTTAAGTGATGTTTCTTATGAGCAGGTTGGTTTTATATTGCAAATGTGCTTTCATTGATATGTAGAATTCAATTTAACAAACTTGATAAATTAAATTGCAGATAGAATCTGATGTGCTTATTAGTGGATATGTGCAACCCATTCCTGATTTGACACAATCAACAATTGATCCAACTTTATCTCTTAAGATAATTGGTGGAAGGAATAAGCCATGAAACCTAATCATATATACTATACATCCTCCCTGACTACCTTTGATTTTGTGCTAGCACATCTTAATAAATATGGTGGTTTTTTTAAAAAAAAAAAAATTGTTTTGTTTCATTATTATAATAGAAGTATGTTTTTAGCTCCTTTACCCTTGTATATACATTCATAACCCAAGAGCGAGAGTTATATTTTTTTGATCAAATTCAAGTATATATATTTGTGAGTTCCTATTCTTCGTGATAAATCTGTGATGATATTCTTTCCTCACGATATTTATTTTTATCATATCGAGAGTCTTGTTGCAACTCCATGGTTATTGAAGAAGCATTGCAGATGGACAACGTAATAAGAATTTTCTCTATGATAAGGTTGATCAAGCTATTGAAATGAAGATATTAAAATAAACTTTATTTAATAATAAATGGATCCTAGCAAAGTTATTACATATATTTTTCGCAAACATTGCCCAATGTGAAAATCACAAGTGTAATGACTAAAACAACCCTAAGAGTGATCGGTATGGGCAAAAAAAAGTAACGACGCGGGTGACGTGGCCGTTCTTGACGCCGTTGTAACCGGGGGAACCACCCCCCCCCCCCAACTCGTTGCATCTCGTCGTCCGCTTCTCATTGCCATGGAAACGAAGTGTAACGCCAAAAAAATTAACTGTGGTGACTTTAGACCGTTTGAAAACGGTCAAATTCAAACCATTATATATATATATATATATATATATATATATATATATATATATATATATATATATATATATATATATATACTTATTTTATTTCAAATTTTACATCTTTTTAAACATTCTATCTACACTTTTATAAACTTTCTTACTAAAAAAATGGAGCAAAACCCCAACACCTCCCAATCATCAAACCCAAACACACAACCAAACATAACCTCGCATCTCGGATTTGCGGGGTATGAAGGTTATTTCAACCTTTTATCGTCTCAAGGCTCACCACAAATCTCATATAAAGGCACAACTTTTAATCCCGCTTCACCGCACTACAGTTTCCCAATTCACCTTACATTCAACAAAATTAATTTGGTCAAAACCCAAATTTACAACAAAATCTTTTCCCTTCTTTTGCTTCGATGCAATAACCAACCAACCAACCATCGCCTACGACACAACAATCGGGTGAAGTGGAAGCGGGAGGTAGTAGGAGAGGGAAAGGGAAAGGAAAAGGAAAATCGAAAGGGAAAACAATAGCGGTAGAAACAGAAAATGCAGACGTTCCACAATGGTGGATACCGGAGGAGGAATACGCTTTAACGGCGGCTTAGTGTGCTACTTCAAAAAACGAACTTCGCGGAAATGGAATGAAAAAAGGAGCTTATTGGGGGGCGGTGCTCGACAATTTCACGCTATTTTAAAGAAAAATCTGTATCGCAATAATGACATGTTGAGCAGCAAATAGGGTATGATAACTAAGCGGTGCAGCAAATTCAACGGTATTTACAACTAGCTTGAGGCGCAACAATAAAGCGGAACCAACGCCTTTGATTTGTTCAAATCTGCTAAGGAACAATATCGGGTTGAAATGGGTCATGTTTTCGACTTTGAAAAATCATGGGAATTGTTGCGAGCGGATCCAAAGTGGAATAAACCGCCTACATCGTCATTTGGAGTTCCTGGAAAGGCAGACACGGGAGATATGTGACATCCCCAAAATCACGGCCAGAAAAGACCGGTTTTGTTTATACTTTATTTCAAAATCAGAGTAACCTTTTAATAAAAGAGTTGCGGAATTTGTCCCAAAACAATAATGTGACATCCCCATTTTTCATGGCCAGAAAAGACTGATTTTGTTTATGCTTTATAAAAATCAGAGTTCTTTTAATAAAAATGTTGCGAAATTTGTTCCCAGAAAAACACGATAAATATGTTATTAAAACATTTTCGAAGAAACGTATTTTATTCATTTCAAAACGTTTGGGATGTCATCGTTAATACATAAACATAAGCATAAACAGAACTTACATTTATTTACACTAGTGATCTACATCTCTTTACATCTCTCAGTGTAATGTGACTTTATATCAACACCTGTGATGTAAATAAACTGAGTGGGTCAGGTTGGGAAACCTGGTGAGTACATAGGGATTTCAATCCCACAATGTTATACCATATATATAGTTTAAAACTCACAAAATATACAATTTCACCATATATATAAACAACTCTTATCCCACCCTGTCGATTCTCACAACGAGGCTATCCATACGCTCGGACCTAAGATTAGTCATTTTACCTATTCCATACTCCCGGATCAGAAATGAACAAATTTACCAAATATATACTCTCGGACTAGGGACGAAGGACTAATCCATACTCTCGGATTAATGATGAATGATTATGCCTAATCCATACTCTCGGACTAGGGATAATGACTAATCTATACTCGCGGATTAATGATGAATGATTATGCCTAATCCATACTCTCAGACTAGGAACAATGACTATGTCTAATCCATACTCCCGGATAAACGACATATACTAAATTCTATTCTCTGAGTATAACTCACTTGTACTCGTAAGAATATACTACCCAATATTCCTCATATTTAATTTAGGTCTACTCTTCATCCTAAATTATTAAATATAATCAGGTATGTTCTTTAACACGTATTTCAGGCAACATCAATTAACTCGCACATAAACATATAATTAATACTTCAATCAATACTTGTATTAAAATCATGTTCATGAAAGGGACTATGCACTCACTTGATAGGTGGTGACTCAGCACTCGGACAACACTTCGATACTCTCAAAACAACTTTCCTTCGATAAAAACCTAGTACCAATACCACTAGGGTTTAGTATAACGATAACCGCGACAAATTAATAGTTTGACTATTATTATTATTATTATATAAGCGTTAAATAACACTCAATACAACTCATAATAATAACCCAAATAATTATTTTAAGGACCTGGTAACATTCCTATAATTATTTGAAAGCTATATTAAAAACTGCGTAAGCATAGCACACTTACAGTGAATTTTATCAAAAACCGGAATTTAATTGGAGCAGCGTTTCGAAACTGAAAGGCTCTTTTTCTCGGGACTCCGGAAGCCTCGGGGCTTCCCTCGGGTGCTAGGTATTTTTCCTAGGGCTTAGGGGTGGTTTGGGAGCTAGGGAGAGAAAGTATTTTAGAGAGAGAAGGAGAATGGTGTGAAAAATGAAGGCTGCCCTCGCAGCTATTTATAGGTTGCTGGCTTCGGATTTACGCTGGGCGTACTCCTCGAGTATGGATGCCAACTCGCAGCCAGCTGTGTCGCATTCCGGTTGGTTCAGATTGGAGCTACGCGGGGCGTAACATCTCGGACGCGGGGCGTAATTCGAGGGTGGCGTGTCACAATCCGAAGCGAAGCCTTGGTCAACAAGCGATGGCCCAAATGCGGCCACGTCATCCATCTCGCATCAGATTTCGCAATTTGCACACTCAACTTTAAAAATTCGTAACTTTCGCATACGAGCTCCGTTTTCGAAGTTCATTATATCCACGTGAAGGCGGGAACGTACTCTACAACTTTCGTTTAGACTTCGTCAGCTAATTTTGACTCGATTTTAAATTTTATATTATTAATAGACCGGGATAGGATTGGTCCGTTAAATTCTCATAACTTCTTCATCCGACATCCGTTTTAGCCCATCTTTTTCTCGTTACGCTACTTTTAACGAGATCTTCGATTCTCGTTTAGGTCGTGTTGGCTAAAAACTGCTCGATCTAATATTCGAATTTCGGGCTGTACACTGTTAACTCGAAACTTCGAAAAATCATAACTTCTTCATACGAAGTCAGATTTGGGCGTTCTTTTTATCGATGTTCTTAGTTTAACATATTCTACGACTTTTGTTTGGATCGCTAAGGCTAAATCTCGCTCTATCATAAATTCACTAGTTACGCTTCCCTGTATCGTGTTGGTTCCGTCGCGAAACTTCAACAGGTCATAACTTCTTCGTTATAACTCGGATTTCGGCGTTCTTTATATGTACGGAAACCTTGAGACATATTCTACAAATTGGTTAAGATTATTTATTCTAAATAATCCTTTGTCGAAAAATCGTTTTCGACACTTATCGTCTCTAAATTGACTAGCCCGGATCTACGGGCGTTACAAATAATATGATAAAGAGTTATCAAAAGCATTTCCTTAGAAATGTATTTCATTAAAAGACTCGGGATGCCATGTTTGATACAGTACATAAGTATAAACAATATAATATAAGCTTACTACATTATTTCATATCTACAGGCCTATATCCGTAATCCCTCATCCCAACACATCACAATTATGATTGAGCGCCACTACCTGTAATACATAAAACTGAGTGGGTCAGGCTTGGGAGCCTGGTGACCACATAGGGTTTTCAACCTACAATAAATAAGTTTATTAATTTCATCGACCAACAATAACCCGATTACCCGTTCCCGTTATCCTCACATTACATCCCTAAACACCTATCATAAGGGACCTATCCTAAGGATCATCATCGGGATGGTCACTACTGGTAATGGGGTTCCTTAGCAATAAATGTACTAAAGGCAACCATGAGGGGGATGGAGTACACCGGTGAACACATCATTCACAAACACATACATGTTGCGAGCTTGCCAGTGTTCCACTAGACTGTCTAGAAGTGTCCGTGGTCGTCATCTATACTCCGCTAGATGACTAGATCAACAACAACAACATCGATGCCTCTCCTCATTTTATCACACATCGTCTTATTACATCTACCTATGTTTTATCCCAACATTTTTGTAGATATAAAATACATATACAGTTTAAATCATTTAAAAATTGTATAAAAACATTCATCCAACATAGATAGCAAGCATATAGATAATATGCACACATATCATTTAATATATAAAATACTTCATATCTATGTGTAAGATGAAAGTAACTATACACTCACCTGAAAAGGTGGTGAATCCGAACTCAGACAGCGCTTCGCTTCTTATAAACAATTTCCTTCGACGAAACCTAGTATTATTACCACTAGAGTTTAGTCTATTATTCGTCGAGACTAATTAATAGTCTAGGT